TGTAAGTCAAGGCAGGATATACTAGTTAATTCTGTTGTCTTTGTTTATGTGAGCTTGAAACGATTTGGAGGAATAGACTCTAGGGACCTGAGATTTTCCAGTGACAAGTTGTTTCATTGAGCTCTATTTATTATATCAAGGGAGCTGTTGTAGGACACTCTTGATTTGTTAGTGAGAAGATTGAGAAGATTCTACTTACTGTTTGGTCGGAGCTGGCGTAGACCCTACCTTTTCATTCACACATAATGTTTAATCGATAGCAGGGATCGAACCCTCGTTTTTCTTTGGATATATTCCATTTCATACTTTCACCTGGTAGTTTTAAGTTATTCTTAATAAGCATGGAGGAATACCAGTTTTGGATGGACACTGGGAGTAAGTTAGGAATAACAGGGAAAAATTTAGAAGCTTTCATTACCACTAAGATCCAGGAAAGAATTGAAAGAGAAAGAATTGAGAGAGAAGAGAGACAGTTAGAAAGGGAAAAGAGGAGAAAAGGTGAGAGTGAGAGAATTGAGAGGAGGAGAAAATGGAGAGCGAGAGAGAATCGAGAGAGGAGAAAAAGGTTGATAGAAAGAATTTAGAGAGAGGAGAAAAAGGAGAGAGAGATCGAATTGAAAGAGAAAATCAAGACAGTTAGAAAGAGAAAGAGAGGAGAAAAAGGAGTGTGATAGACTTGATCGTGAGAAAAGAGCTAAAGTATGTGAGGAACAAGTTAAATTAAGAGAACTTGAGGAAAGAGCAAGCGATAAAGAACTTGAGGTAAAAAGCTAGAAATTAGTGAGGAAAAAAAGTATAGAGAGAATGAACTGCGAGAGAGACAGAAAGATCGTGAGGTAATGCAACCTTGATTAGAAAAATAAAAGTTAACTTTTACCAACAATAATTTTTTTTTTTTTTTTTACAATTCCCCAAAAACTTTTGGGTTAGCGATGAATGAGGGAGACTGATCGGACGTGTATAAGTTGATGGTAGGTATAATAACGGGATATTAATAAGGTTCTTGAGGATGTCTTTCCAAGAGGAGAACCGCAGTAATGGATTTAAATTAGATAAGTTTAGATTTTGATTTAGAAAGGAATAGGAAAGTATTGTTTGGAAATAGGGTAGTTGATGAGTGGAACAGTCTACCTAGTTGGGTTATTGAGGCTAGGACTTTGGGTAGTTTCAAATCTAGGTTGGATAAGTACATGAGTGGGAAGGGTTGGATTTGAGTGGGACTTTCACATCAGAGCTTATTTCTTGGGTAGCATTGAAAATTGGGTTGGGTAAATGTTTTGTTAGTGGGATGAATTGTAAAGGACCTGCCTAGTATGGGCCAGCAGGCCTCCTGCAGTGTTCCTCCTTTCTTATGTTCTTATGTACTGAACATCATACAGCTAGTCCACATAGTGCAACACCTAATGTAGCTCCCTTCACAGAGGGTGCAGACATAACTTCATACATAATTAGGCTTGAAAATATGGCTACCTTCTGCGAATGGCCAGCTGACACCTGGGCTACCAGGTTAGGTATGTTATTTTCTGGTACAGCTTTGAATATCTGTGCAACTTTGTCGCGGGATGTCATATGTAATTATAACCTACTTAAGAAGGCAATCCTTAAAGCATGCCAAAAAACCACAAATTCTTATAGGAAAGATTTCAGGTATGCCACCTTACAGCATGGCCAAAACTTTCAGCAGTTACAGGTAACACTCTTTCGTTTGTTCGACTTTTGGATAGAGAGTTCAGGAATTGATCACAGTTATGAATTTCTTAGAGACTTCATGGTTGCTGACCAGTTCCTGACAGCTCTTCCTCCCCAGATACGAACATTCATTAGAGAAGTAACCTGATTAAAGCTGAGCAAGTTGCTGAGGCCGCTGACTTGTATGCTGAGGCTCACAATTCCTATAAAGACCTAAAAGGATCAAACCCCTAAGGGAAGGGTTCACCGATCTTAAGAAATCAAACCCTTTCTAGTAGAAAGTAAACTGACGTCTTTTATTCCGGTTTGTCATTTATGTGGTTTTAAAGAGACAAAACGTCCCGATTGTCCTTCGAGAAGGTGAAAAAAGTTGGAAGATGTTTTCAAGACTGTAATGACCAAGAAACTTCTGTTCAGGAAACAGTTAAGGGACTTAAAGTATCTACTATTTTACGAGACATGGCTGCACTTTGTATAGTCATTTTGATAAGCTGTTCCTAACCATAAAGAAACTCATTCCTTGCTATCCTTTCAGACTACTTGGGCCATACAGACACTTTAACTACCATCCTTTGTTACATTAGGGTGTTAAGGGTTCACAGGTTGCTCTAAAGTGTACGAGTCCCTTTCACTTCTTGCCTCCGTACTAATAAGTAATGTAAAAGTGCCATTCTTCCTTCTGAGGTTGCCCTTTCCCATCCCCAATAGATGGACTTAAGTTTTTCAGCCCTTTCCTGTAAAGTAAGAAAAGCCTTCGCAGTTCAGATGAGGAATGTCTGTGATATTCATGTGGGTTAGAAACCAGTGATATCCTCTCGAAAGCAAAGGTTATGGATCATGGTTCCATTTGTTAGATGGAAAGTGAGGATTAACCTCCGATACTATAAATGTCTTGACTAGGGCCCAGGACCAAGCCCAGGCTTCTCCTATTGTCCATCCTGTATAAATCAGTATAAAATTAAATTCAGATGAGGATAGATTATTCCATTTAGTTGTTCTAAGTCAAATGCAGAGAGAGACTGTTTTAAAATGGCTCATGACCTACAGTGGGGAAACATTTCTCGATGGTAAACCTTAAATAAATTAGGGAACCCTATTTTGGCCAAAATGTCCTCGATATCATTACCTATTGTGGGATCTTTTTAAAGTTGGCAACTGTCATCCCCCCGAGGCACCAGGCGAGTACCTATGGTCAAAATCCCATTCTTTACGGTTCCGTTGGAAAAGTAGTTTATTGACATCGTTATTTTCATTTTCACCACTTTATCTGGGGACAGATTATTTTAACATTAGTTTGATTATCCCTTCGAGTTTCCCCTGAAGCTGTTACCCTTAAAGTCCATAACTACTACAGAGGTGGTTAAAACCCCTTTTGTCACTTCTCCAGAGTTTACCTGGAGAGAGTTCCGGGGTCAAAGCCCCGCGGCCCGGTCTGAGACCAGGCCTCCTGGTGGATCAGAGCCTGATCAACCGGTTTTGCTGTGGCTGCACGCAAACCATTTTTCGAGCCACAGCCGGTGATCGGAACTGATTTAGGTTGCTTGTCATGCGTTAAAGACTGCCAGGGGTCTGTTGGTAATCCCCTATGTGTGTGGGAGGCAGTTGAACAGTTCTCAGAGTGGCACCCCTAGAGAAATTTTGTCTGACCGTGGGACACAGTTCAAATCTGACTTAATGCAACATCTCTACCAACTTCTGGGAGGGAAGCCTCTCTTCCCACACCCTATCATCCCAGCTGTAAGGGGAGGATTGAGCGCCCAGCATTCGATTCTCAAGTCATTTTAAGGAAACTTTGCTCCCTTAACCAAAGGGTGGCATCGTTACCTACCCTGTGCTTTGTTTGCCATGGGGAATTTCCCCAGTAACCTTTGGGGGTTTTCACTTTTTGAACTTCTCTATGGTAACAGGCCAGAGGTCCATGTCTATCCTTCATGACTTAGGGGACTAATGAGGAGGAAAAATGCCTGAGGTTCAGTCTTCTTACCAGTTTCTCCTTGACCTTAGATCCAAACTTGAGGAGACCTCTGACATATTTTTCGATAAATTTAAAAGCTTATCAATATACCAGTGCAAAACCTATTTTGATACCAAAAGTCAGAGGAGAAGTTTTAAAGTAGGGGATGAGGGTTTGGTACTTTTACCTTTAAAGTCAATAAAATTATTATTTAGCTTGGAAAGGTCCGTATAAGATATTAAAAATTTGGGGGAAGGTTGATTACCTCATAGAAGTCAAGGGAAAACCTAAGCTTTATCATATCAACATTCTTAAGAAATATTACCGAAGAAATTCGGTTAACTCCCTGAATAACTTTGATTTAGTTTTTCCACACGAACTTGATAAGACAACTGAGTAGTGTAAGGTGTGGGTAATTGACACTAATAACGTAGACTATGACAGAGAACTACATGACTTGTAGATGAATGGTTCAGAGAACCGACACGTTGATAAATTTGACACATGTGCAGCTCTTGGGTATCTTTATTGAGGAAACGTTTCACTACACAGTGGCTTCATCAGTCCATACAAAGGAGAAACTTGAAGAACAGGAGGAGAATGAGGTAATCAGTCCCTCATCCTTGAGTCGATGTGGTCAGTCCATCAATCTTGAATAGAATACGGCATATGTGCGGAGAAGCAGCTTATGTACCGTAGGCAGGAGAGGTGCAGCAGTCGTAGGTGGTGTCACATTTGTCCAATGGGGAAAGTAGGTCGTGCCCAAGGGTTGGGCCCAACCCGAAAAATTCCCAAGTATTAAGATCCCAAGAAGTTTCAGTGTCTGACAGGATTGTTCTCTGAACCATTCATCTACAATCCTGTCAGACGCAGCACCAAGTATTAAAACCTCAGTATGTGGTATGTGTGTTTTGTTATGTGTGTGGGGGAGGGGCGGCATAATGCCGTGACTAGCACTGTAGACTATTAAATGAGGCATGTATGTACAGCAAAAAATGTGCAAAATTATCACTTTTGTTGACTCACGAAATCGCAATGACACGATTACAAACAAACCATACCACGGGTGGGGTTAGAACCCATGATCATAAGGTCAGGCTGGCTTGGCTTACTCAGTGAAATGAGCAAAAGTAGCCAATTGTATAATAAGTCACAATATTAGATAAATGGATACAGATGCAACTAATGTGACATTTTATTGTGGCAACGTTTCGCTCTCCAGGAGCTTTGTCAAGCTGTTACTTAACGGCTTGACAAAGCTCCTGGAGGGCGAAACGTTGCCACAATAAAATGTCGTATTAGTTGCATCTGTGTTTATTTACCTAACATTCTGCAGTAATTCTACCCTTATTGCTAAGTCAATACACAGGGTGGAGCAATTTACAGCTCACAATTTGTAAAGGAAAATTTAGACGATGGGTTAGGATGGGCCAAGACGTCGTCTAAAGTTTCCTCTTCATTTGTGAATTGCAGTACTTGTAAATAGTTCTTTGTTTTATAACAGTGGTGTGTATTTAGCTAACTCAACAATTGCCACTTCAGTAGTTTTGGCAGAAGAGTACTATATGATAACCTAATTTGAACTTATAACCATTGTTTGCAGTTCACAGACTGATTTCTAGGCCTTATAAGAGTCGATAATATCTTTCCAGCGACTAAGAATATCTTCCTTTGGAGTTTTCCAAAACTTAGAGAGTACATCCCAGCCTTTAGCAGCAGTTACTAGCAAGTAATCATTTCCTGATTCTTGTTCATGGCTGTATGCTCCCAGTACTAAGCTTTGAGTGAAGCGGGCAGCAACACACTCCTGTAAATAAATAAATAACTAAGTAAATTAGCAAATATTATTATTTTGTAAACTTACCTATAGTGTAATAACTTGGGAAAACATTTAAACCCATTTTTCATAGGCCAGTGGCTTCTAAGGTTTTGTTGCAAGTATTAATTTGCGATGCTAAAAATATGTAACTTTCAACATCAATGTAACATGAGAACTGTTCTACTGCCAACCAGTTTTAAAATTTAAAGATTCAAGTTGCTAAAGCGTATGTAAAGTATATTGGTGTTGTCCATTAATGGGGGCAGAACATCCAAATCTCTGTCTGTGATAATCTTATTCCAGTCAACAGAAACTGGCAAATGTTTGCATACCTAAAAGTGGCAGGCCAGGTTCTTCAAGAAAATATACATATTAAACTTGCTTATGATTATCTGGTGGAGGTTCCTGAAGGCTTGGGTATAGTATATGTATACAAAGCCTAAAAAAAAACTTAATTTCTTTTCAATACGTGTGAACAGGGTGGCTACAATGTCTTCTTTACCTCTCCAGAAATGTGTGCAGTATAAACTCGTTTAATTTAATATGTATATTATGTACACCATGCCCATCCTGTGGGCAGTAGTCAAAGATTACAGAGGTACATAATGGGTCCAGGAAACTATAACTCGTGCACTCTTTATTAGATTAAGTGACTTGAATGTAATCAAGTGAAATAAGCAGCAGTTATACAAATTTAAAAAAGGATTCTCAGTCGATCCACGAGCGTCCATATACAGGAACTTTCAGGCGTTCCTTTTCATTGTCTTATTTCCTTGTTTTGGACGTTCATGGCTCCTGATACTATGACTACAATTACTTGTTCCATGATAAACGAACCTAAGCAAACAAGTGGTATGAAAGATAAGGAAGATAATACCAGTTGTAATATTTACAGAACATTTTGACCATGTTTAGTCACAAAGCGCTCATACCCATACAAAATTATATATACGAAAATTTAAAAAACCCGGATAAAATTTTAATAAAGCAAAAACATAAAAAACTCAGCGCAATTAAGAAATTTCATACCACGTTAAAAATAACCAGATCAATTAAAAATTTATTTCAGTTATAAAATGAAGAGCAGATGATGTTGGACTGTCTAGGGGTAGCTCCCAGGATAAAATTTTGTCGGATTTTTAACTCCGGGGGTTAGCTACCCAAAATAACCCAAAAAAGTCAGTGTGTTATCAAGGACTATCAGTTTTATTTCCATTGGGGTCTTTCAATATTAACCCCTAGAATGTTGTAAGGAAACATTCCAATATTTCTACCCTTGCCGGGATCGAATCACGGACACTCAGTGTGTGACTCCAGAGCGTTTCCTACCAGGTCACGGGACACCTCGAGACTTTGATGCTGTGAGGGGCTCTTGATCCAAGAGCTGGTGAGGTGCTCTTGCTCCAAGAGCTGATGAGGGGCTCTTGATCCAAGTGGTGGTGAGTGGCTCTTGATCCTCCAGTTCCTTGGATTGAACATGAATGCCACTCAGGTGCTGCATGACCCCAACGAGTTTAGCGTTTCCTTGTGGTTAAAATTAAATATATATATAGAGGTCATACAACACCCGGGGGAAAGGGA